TGGAATAAATTTTGGTACGCACCAAAAGATCAGTGTGACAACTACAGAGAATGTGGTGCATATGGTATTTGTGATTCGAATGCCTCGCCAGTTTGCAAGTGCTTGAAGGGTTTTCAACCTAAGAATCATCAGGCATGGGATTTGAGAGATGGGTCAGGTGGGTGTGTTAGGAAGACGAATCTGGAGTGCTTGGAAGATAAATTTCTGCACATGAAGAACATGAAATTGCCACAGAGCACAACATCATTTGTGGACAGGAGTATGAGTCTTAAGAATTGTGAATTGTTGTGCTCAAGGAATTGTTCTTGCACTGCTTACGCCAACTCAAATATCAGCAATGGAGGGTCTGGCTGTGTGATTTGGACCGGTGAGCTCTTTGATTTGAGGCAATATCCAGAAGGTGGGCAGGATCTTTATGTTAGATTAGCAGCTTCCGATATAGGTATGTTCGTAACTCTCTTTATTCGTTTCTAGATGGAAACAAATGCATACAATAAATTTATTTTAATAATAATTTTAAAATAACTTTTTATCTTTTCAAAACAAAAATAAAAAAAAAATTTCTTTATTTTTTTTTTTGGGTCCCAAAACAATAAACAAGCTATATCTTAAATCGAATTTTACTATATTCATGTTGGAGCCATGGATAATGATCCAACCCTCACTACATAAATCCATGAAGACAAATGTAATCTATGTGAGCTAACTTGAGCACAAACTATTAACTTATGATGATTATTAACTAGGAAGAAGAGGAAATAAATTTTAGGTCTGAGAAATAAATGTGTTGGTGCAAGGAATGTAAGATTACATTAATGGATCAATGACTTTGCATCTACCCACCTTGTGGTTCACTCCTGGTGTGGTGCGTTGCTTGTTTTTGAAAACAAAAAGGCAAAAGCCATCTTATGCAAATTCCAAGTAAATATCATCAAGAAGAAACCAAATTGTTGGTGCCTAGATCTTCTACTGATTGCTATCAATGAACCTTCTTTTTTTGTTTTTTATCCTGGCCGTCCATTATTTGGATCCCACTACTGAGTGGGCTCCAAGTGTTTATGCATACATATGTGTTTATTTGGTTCAAATTATTAATTTTTATTATTATTTTGATGAATATTTTAAAAAATTATTATTATTATATTCTCAAACATTTAAAAATTTAATAATAATTAAACTAAAAACTAGAAATTCAGCTGATAAGTCTCTTTGACGGCTGGCTCAATATATTTTATTGGCTTAGTTTTTATATTTGGTCTAATAAAGATGGCTATAATGATTATATATATGTATAATTTTTTTTAATTAATATAAATATTTAAATAAATTTGTATATATTTTGATTAATTTTATATTTTAAATTGGTATATATTTTGATTAATTTTATATTTTAAAATTAATAATTATATAAAATTTTAATGGATTATCACATTAATAATCACAAAACTTAAACAAATCCCTTGTCTTAAACTTTTATTACTTTTATTACTGTGTCACCGAGATGGTTGATGATTTTGTTTTTTTTGCTTTTTCTAAGGATTGTCAAGTAGGCCCCATTTATTAAAAGTTGGGTCCAAATAATCCCAGCGGTGATGGGCCGACATTATTGACTTAGTAGGTTCATATTGGTTTACAAAGATGGCAGTCCTTTTCATACCTTTTATTTACAAAATCAAGACCACTATTAATAAGTATTCATTTGGACCCACTATTTTTTATTTTTTCAATTTAATCCTCTAAAGTCAGTTTTGGAACTTTCGACAGGTTAGAAAAATTGACAAAGAAATGCATGGGTTAGATTTGCTATCTTTTCTTAAATCCCATCAAGGCATTAGGATGATTTCCCCCCATTTCTTAATGGTATAAGATTAGGGTACTTTTTAACTTTCGAAATTCTCAAGGCATCAAGATGATTTCCCTCTATTTTTCTTGTCACGGTATCATATGAGCTTCTACGCTTTTTAAGTTATTTTAAAATTATTTTTTTTGAAAAAAATAATAAACTAATTTTTTTAAAAAACACTCTACACTTAATAATATAAGATTAAGATTAGAGTTTTTTTAATTTATTTTACAGATTATATCTTTTATCAAGTCTTACTTAGTTTCATGCATAACCATAACTACTATGAATAGAAGTTTTCACGATAAATGATGAGCTGGCCTACAAGCATGTGGATGATTTTTTTATACAACATTTCTCAAGTAAGATATGGTTATCAAGCATCCATTTGGTTGATTCTTAGAGCTGAAAACTACACATAATAGTTTCCAGAAATCATGGCCAGAATGAAAGCCACGGCAGAAAAGCAAGTAGGTGACCCACAAGGACACTTGTTTCCATGGCCATGCGCCGGACCTATAATGGCTACTTATTAGTCAATGTTAGGTCAAGTGTTCACATTTCTAACATGGTCTTAACTACACTGGAAAAAAAAAATGAGGGTGATTGATTTAGAAAACGCAAGTGAATGAATATCTTAAGCCTCGTAGGATCTTCAAGTCAAGGCAACAAACACTCTTGGCATGATGTAGTGGAATCAAGACATGAATTTGGACTAAAGATGGATAACAATCATCCTCAAGCTCGTGCATTTTGGTGAAAGTGTGCCCAAATGACCAAGACTATTAACAAATCTGTTCTTGTCAGGTGATGGAGGGAGTGCAGACACTATAATTATTTGCATTGCTGTTGGCATTGGCATTTTAATATTATCACTAACTGGCTTTTCCATATGGAAGAGGAAGAGATTGCGGAGTGTATGTAATGGAACACAGCAGGAAGGTAATGTCAAATTGATTCAAGAACTCAATAAGGCAAAAAACTTGTATAAAAAGAAAGTAGTTACTGTATTATGTTCATCCATGATGAATTTGTCTTGCTATCTCTAAAACCAGGTCCTCAAGAGAGAAGCCAAGATTTATTGTTAAATGAGGTGGTTATAAATAAGAAAGACTACTCTGGTGAAAAAAGCAAAGATGAACTAGAACTGCCACTGTTTGATTTTTGTACAATAGCAGCAGCTACCGGCAATTTCTGTGACGAAAATAAACTAGGAGAAGGTGGTTTTGGTTGTGTTCACAAGGTAAATTCTATTGTTAAGATAATGTAGGGAAAGAATTTGGAACGATTATCATTAGCTTTAATGCAGACCAAAAGCGTGACCCTGACAGAAAGTATGTGACAATGCCAGGGTAGGCTAGTAGAAGGCCAAGAAGTAGCAGTCAAGAGGCTGTCGAAGAAGTCTGGTCAGGGAACAGAAGAATTCAAGAATGAGGTAAGGTTAATTGCAAGGGTTCAACACAGAAATCTTGTTCGACTGCTCGGTTGCTGCTTTGAGAAGGATGAGAAGATCCTTATTTATGAGTTCATGGAAAACAGAAGCCTGGATTCTGTTCTATTCAGTTAGTCCCTTTTAACATTTGGTTCTCTTTTGCATCTCATTGATTAGATTTGAATTCAAGCTACTTATTTTGGTAAAAATATTGTTACAGATAAGGCAAAAAGCTCTCTACTAAATTGGCAGAGGCGCTTCAACATCATCTGTGGGACTGCTAGAGGACTTCTGTATTTACATCAGGATTCCAGATTTAGAATTATCCACAGGGATCTCAAAGCAAGCAACATTCTGCTTGACAGGGAATGGACTCCAAAAATATCAGACTTTGGCATGGCTAGAATATTTGGTGGAGACCAAACACAAGCAAACACCAGGAGGATAGTGGGAACATAGTAAGTACTACAACTAGATTTCTTTACTGCCTGAAGGCTGCAAACCTCACTTTCCTCTTCTTATCTAACTGTCATATTGGTTACATGTAGTGGCTATATGTCTCCGGAATATGCAATGGATGGGCTATTCTCAGTGAAATCAGACGTTTTCAGCTTCGGAGTTCTAGTTTTGGAGATTGTATGTGGGGAAAAGAACAGGGGGTTTTATCACTCAAACAGTGAACTTAACCTTCTTGGGAATGTAAGTATACAAGTGCATTTCAGCGGCTTCACTTCTCATTGAAAATGAGAGACTTATTGATCGGCAAACATTGAACTTGAAATATTGCAGGTGTGGAGGCAGTGGAAAGATGGGAATGGATTGGAAGTGTTAGATAAATCAGCTGGCAGTTCATATAGCCCTAGTGAAGTTTTGAGATGTATACAAGTAGGCCTTTTATGTGTCCAAGAGCGAGCAGAAGATAGACCAACAATGGCTTCTGTAGTGTTGATGTTGAGCAGTGAAACTGCATCAATGCCCCAGCCTAAAACTCCTGGATATTGCCTAGGAAAGAATCCATTTGAAACTGATTCCTCTTCAAGCAAACAAGATGAATCATTCACTGTAAACCAGGTTACAGTTACAGTGCTAGATGCTAGGTAAAAGAAACTGTATAACTCTTCTAGCATATTTGTATATTCATAGATTTTGTTATACCTCACCAGCTGTTGTGATTTACAGTTTTTGTGTATTGGTGCATCTCCTTTTGATAACAAGTGTGGGATATCCATGTTTAATTTATAGTTTCTACAAGCTATAAGCAACCTTGGATAGGTTGTTTTGTCACAAGTGCACACAAAAATTGAAACACAAACATGAAGTTATGAAATGCTGTAGTTTGCTCGACATGTAAATCAATAACACAAGGAATTCAGAAAGATTAGATCCCATATAGCATATTTGTGTGTCTCGTGAGTTTTTGAATGCTACATCAAAGGCTGCAGGAATTCAGAAAGATTAGATCCCATTTAGCATATTTGTGTGTCTCATGAGTTTTTGAATGCTACATCAAAGGCTGCAATTCGCTGTTCTTGAGTATTAACAAGTAGCCTGAGTCTGAGAATTCACGATGATTAGAGTGTCAACCGATGCAAGAAATTAAAGCCCGTTTCTGATCGACATTACAGATTTAAGATTGCCGGCAGACACTCTTGGAATCTAGCTACAGGCCAGAAACATATTTGTAAGACGTCCGAAAAGGAACATGTAAAAGATATTACTGTTATACCAGGAAACAGAAGACAAGAATCTCAACAAGTGCTTTCAGGATCTGTTTTCCATGTCTCTTTGCAGATTCTAACTTGACAGACTAATTTTCTATCCAATTTTGTAAAAACACAACGCACTCAGATGAAAAGTAATTCATCCAGAGAAAATTAGACTGTAGAGTAAATGAATACTATCAACAATATCAATCAAAAAGGCCAAATTATGACCTAAGAAGAATTATCACAGGATCAGAATCATAGCCTTGTCTACAAAATCATCCTGAAAAAATCTGAAACACAGAAGATTAGAACTTGAATAAGAAACATAGAGACTATTGAGTGCAACTTTGCAAGTAATATCAGTACCTGGAATCAGCCTTCTTAGGCGAATCAGATGCACATTCTACATGATTTTGTAGTAACAGTTCCCTCTAGAGAGAAGGATCTGATATCGTTTGCCGCAGGGACACTTGAAGTGAACGATGAAGCAATCCCCAGATTTCTCCACACAAACAGATTCTTCGTAATCTTTCATTGAATCACTCTGCATCAAACATATTATTCACAATCTTTCATTAAATAAAATCAAAACACACTCCAATTTAAAAAAAAAATCATCGAACAGTCGAAAAGAATCGACAACTCAGTAATGAAACACAAGAATCATAAGTTCATTTTCGTGTCAGGACAAACGAAGAAATTAAGGGTAACAGTTTTACCTTTTCAGTTGCATCAGGAGGGTTATCTTCAGGGCCTAATTTCTCAGCTTCTTCTTCAAAATCACATGGCTCAGCAAAAACTTCATCAGTGTCGGGCATAATTTCGTCCCACCATTGATTTATTTCCTTCATGCTATCCCTCATCTTCTTCAGCCACTGTTAATCACCATAAATTTCCCAAACCCTCGATTATAATTATCTTAAAGCCACAAAATCCTCTCTATATCCCAAGAATCCCAAAAAAAAATATCTAAAAGGAAAATTTCCAAGAATCACATTTCCAAGAATCTTTTTATCATCTTCTTAATTAAAAGATGCAGATTAAGACAATTACAACAGAAACTAGTCAAGAATTACTACCAACCTTGAAACTGGAACCTCCATTGGAACTTGAAGACCTTGAAAGGCTCTTGTCAGGAGAAAGGTCTGACACTGATCTTCTCAACGGTGGCTTTGGAGGCAGAGACGCACTTCCCTTCTTGGAACTCCCCGGTGGCGATTGTGCTACCAAGTTGGCCACATTTGGCGGGGAACAAGGATCAGAAAAGCAGCGGAGGAGGACAGGGTCAGCACTGCAAATGGGTTGGAGAATCTTGGAGAAACCCGATACAGAATTAGGAGCATTGTTGTTGTCGTTAGTAGTAGTGGTTTCATGGGGTTCAACAAACAGTTTCTTGGGTTTCTTTGTGAGGTGGTCTTGTGGGTTATGGTCAGGAGACCTGCGTTTGTTGTAAGAGGAAGAGGCGGAGCAGCCACAAGTAGTGCAAGGAGTACTGTGGTGGTGGTTGTTGGTAGAGGAGTCAAGGCGGAGAAGAGAGAAATCAATGGATTCATCTTCTAAGTTGTTGGCTGCGGGGATTTGGAATTCTTGAAGATTAAAGTCGCACATTTCTATGATCTTTCTGCGGCGTTTCTCTCTGATCTTTCTTTCTCTCTTGGAAGGCGAAGGAAAGAAATCAAGAATAGGAGGCGTGGCTCTAAGTGGGGGATCATATATAGATTGAGAAGGGACATTGGAATACCAACAGTAGAATGACACGTAGCGGTTTTTTGGTTAAGTGATGAGATGGCAGAAAAAGATTGGTGAAGGAGGTAGTTTGTTTTCGCGCCAAGTTGGTAACTGTAAAATAGTTCAGTTATGTTAGGCGGGCCTTTATGGGATCTTTGAATTGGTATATAAGACTAGTCAATTAGAAGCATTAATTTATTTCCAATCAAATTGATGATCCTTACCGTTTAGTCGTGGATACTTACAGAATGTGACACTGATCATCTTCTCAGCACCAACAACCTCAGTGGTTCTTCTGTTGGTTTTAATTGCCTTGTACGTTTTATGGAAGAGGAAGAGACAGGGAGGTAGAAGGAGAATATGCACAAGCAGAGGAGGGAGCTTGGAAAAAAAGGTGTTCTTATAAGGGGTTGTCTAGCTTGGCAACTTTCTCACTTTTTTTTGTGCTTCATGTACTTTGATGTTGATTCCTCTTTCTGCTGCATGATCTTAGGAGGTTTTTGATTACAGTAAGGATCTCTTGCTTCCTCAATTCATTGTGTTTCGCTGCACTCTGTTTTTTCTGCATCTGTGCTGAGTTCGAGCATAGCCAGGAACAGGTTGCCCTAGATACGGACATGCCATAGTTCCTGTTTTTTCTTTGCCACTCACGCATACATATATAGAAGTGACTCTTTCTCTGGATATTCCCATTGTAAAGAATCTGAACGTGAAACTGTTGAAAGGAAATTAGTTCAAACAGATATAGAGTTATTATGAATCCCATTTCGGGGGTTTCCTTGTACAGATGTTCAATCTTCTGTCATGTCTGCTATATATTTTGACAGTAGTGCTTGCATTGTTGGAGATATAGTCAACAGTGCTGCTTAGTTGATGGATAAATTTATTTCAAGCCGAATAATGGTTAACAGGAAATCACAATTGGTTTTCTGTTTCGGGGGAAGAGGAAAACAAGAAATTTGCGGTATGAGCTCGTCAGAAAGATGATTCTAAAACAAAGGGATAAATTCTTTGACACCGAATTGGTTTCCTGTTTGTCTAACAGTATTTTGTAAAGGCAATCACAATTTATCCATAAAAAGCACTGCTGACTATATCTCCAACAATGCAGGAACCAATGTCATCTTCCAAACTATTTTGCTTGATCTTATTAATTTAGTTAAATATCCGGTGGGGCGATGTTTTCAAAATAAAAGAGAACGATTTAATAGGAAAAACCAATGAAGCTCTTGGAGGCTTAAGATAATAAATATAAATAAATGAGGAGTATTGTAATAATTGAATAAAAAATTGATAAATATAAATAGGAAGAGAACAATATAAAAAAATAAAAAAGATGAAGAGAACTGAAATTGAAGGTTGAATTGGAGGAGAGAAAGAAAAGAGAAGAAGGAAGAGAAAAGGGAAGAGAATTATAAAAAATAAGTTGTTGAGAGAGGTTTATGCTTTAACACACACACACACATATATATATAAAAGGATTGTTATTAGTTAAGATTTTTAATTGTTATGATTAATGATTTAATTAGTTGAATTTTAAATAATCTTGTTAGAAATAATGATTTTGAGATTAATTAATTGATGTGTTGGTTGTAAGAATATTGAGGGAAAAAAAAATCCATGCTAGAAATTAGATAGTATAGTCTTGAGGTTGAAAATAAAATATTTCAGTTTAGTCCTTTAATTCATGAAAATTATAGTTTAATAGTTGAACTTTGAAAAAATTATAGTTTGGTCCTTATAGTATAATTTTAAATTCTGAATAGACTTAAGGATGGATTATAGGTAAAATTTTAGTATAGTCATGAATTTATGATATTTTTAGTTTGATCCTCTAATTAGATAAAATTATAATTTGACCCTTGAAATCTAAGAAAATTTAAGAATGGTCCCTAGATATAATCTTAGCTTTTTATATTGGTTTGATGAATAATTGAGGGTTATTTGATAAATTATTATGAAGTTTAATTATTTGTTTTTTTAATAAAATTTCAGGAAAAACATTTAATTTTTGGATTTTTAGAAAAAATAACTAGTTTGATTGATAAACATATATGGTTATGAGTTAGATCTTTAGTTAAGTATATTAAATAGGTTGTACATTCTTTTCAAGTTATTTTGGAATATGCCTCCTTTTTTATTCAGTTAATCTTGATATTCTACATACATGGCATCAATAGGATTGCCTTAGTATCTGATTTCAAGTTCTGTTTGCTTTTAAGTCAGGTGAATGAATAATTTTTCATATATATGAGAAATAATATAAATATTTGAATTGTTAATACAAATTAAATTGTGCTTCTTGATTATATATATATTGATTATTAACCTTATTGCGATAAAGTATGATCAGTTGTTAAATCTGAATTCTTTATATGAGTTAGCATATACTTTTGAATTGACTTCTAAATTGACAACTATTTATTTGATTGATGTCATGAGTTAAACCTTGAAATATGAATATGTCTGTTTCATTATGACATGACATATGGTATGCCAATTAGAATAACTATACGAACATGGTAGTGTTAATCTTTGTGGACATTGTATATGAAACAATAGTTGATTAGGGGAGTCACCAATTTATATGGATTGATCATCCCATAGTATGAGACCTCATGCTTATTGCATTTTGAATTTTTGACGAGCCTTACTTTATAATATTCTTATTATAACTTATTCGAAAAACTTTTATATAAGAACCTAAAGCTACACACACACACACACACTTATTATTATATTATCTCGTGTATGTATATTGAACATTATTTGCTTAGTGAGTTGTTGAATTCACCCTTTCACTATTTTTTTTTCAAGCTTATAATTTGTTAGCAAGTTACTTCTATTGGATCTTCAAAACCTACTCTTTTTTATTGTGATTAACTATATGAATAGGGTAGTGTTAGTTTTTGTACACATCGTATTTAAAACTATAGTTGGTTAGGGGAGTCACCAACTTGTATGAACTAATCATCATATAGTATGGAGTCTCATGTTTATTGCATTTTGAATTTTTAACGAGCTTTACCTTATATTATTCTTGTTATGACCTTTTCAAAAAACTTCTCTATAAGAACTTAAAGTCGTATATATATAAACCAATCAATGTAAGCAATCATGATATGTTTGATATAGAGTGATCATATCAATGAATGGAGTGCCAAGAATGATGGTATGATTTATATATTTGGTAACAACAAAGAATGTTTTAAGAGAAATGCCATTGTTGAAAAAAGAGACTTGAGTTTTTCCTGCAATATGCAATTTTGAATTATTAGCAGTAGAGAGTTTTTTAGATTTATTTTGTAAAAATTATTTTGGAACAACGCCTTCTTTGATGCAGTTAACCCTTAATTATTCATCAAACCAATCCAAAAAATCTAATATTTTAGTTATGAATCAATTTGGAATTTTATCAGCTTTTTAGGGGTGTAATTTTGTTAAATGACCAGATTAAAAATGTTATAAATTCATAACTATACTAGAATTTTACCTATAATTCATCCTTAGTTTTGTCCAGAATCTCGAGTTATGCTCCAAAGACCATTTTAGAAAGTTTTTCAAATTTTTAGAGTGAAATTGGAGAATTGAACTGAAAATATCCTAAATTCATAACCATACTGTAATTTTTCCTATAATTCATCCTTACTTCTATCTAGAATCTGGAATTATGCTATAGGGACCAATATGTAATTGTTTCAAATTTTAAGGATTAAACTGTAATTTTCACAAATTGAGTGTACCAAATTGAAATTTTATCATCTTCAACCTCAAATCTAGATTTTTCCACATATCACCTTTACCAAAATCTCTAACTCAAATTCATCATTTAAACAAACTATAACTAAACATCATTATCTTTACCTAAAATCTTCAAAAATCAATTAAATAACTCATTACTCATAACAATTAACCCATAATATTCAAATGAATTCATCAATCAAATAAAAAAAAATCTTCAAAACCCTAATCTTTAACAAAATAGAAAATCAAAGATAAATAATACATTTATATATATCAAAGTATAAATCTTACTTTTAAAATTATTTTTTTTTAACTCTCTTCTCCTTTTTCTTTCTCTCTTTTCTCTTTTTCTTCTTTTCCTTTTCTTCTCTCCTGTCGATTCTCACTCTCAAATTTCAAATCCTTCTTTCTTTCTTTTTTTATTTATTTATACTTATCATGTTTTATTCAATTGCCACAATACCACTTATTTATTTATGTTTACTTCTAAGTCTCAAAAGACTTTGTTGTCTTTTCCTATTCTTTTTTATTTTCAAAATATTACATTGTCTTTGTGTTGATCATAAATTCTAGAATTGTGTCGTGATAGATGATGAGATTTGAATTACTTAGTTATCAAGGTTTCGATAAGATATTAAATAATTATTAAATAATTATCTTAAATTAAAAATTTAAACTATTTGAAGAGACATTAAAAATAATTTTATATTAATCTCTAATATTTTCTCTTGTCATCATGTGTTTGCAAGTCGAATGTTGCTTTACAATGTTGTCGTTTTATATTCACACATTATTTAGCTTTGTAAAATGAAGGACGACTGGACCAAGTACGTACCAAAAATGCTGGAAAGCCCCTCAGGATCTTGGTTCTAATAGAAACGTTCTATACTTGTGCAATAAACACTTTGATTTTCAATCATCATTTTACAGGCAAGTTGTATTATCTCATAAGAGAAAACGCGTTTGTTTGACAGAAATGATGCAAAAGCACATCACTACCGCATCATATAATTTGCAAAGTGAAGAAAGGCGTTCAAAGTTAAAAGTATAAAATAAAAAACTTCAAAGATGAAAAAATAAATTAGGACAGCAACGTAATGTTCTTACTGTCAAAAGTAATAATATTAGGACCTTTCCAATGCATGCAAGGATGGAAAGATGAGCTGTTGCAGATGCACCTAATTGAGGGG